AGTGAGACACTGTACAGCAGGGGTGTCCAAACCTTTTTCACCGAGGGCCACATACAGAAAAATATACGAAGGACTGGGCCACTCACTAGAGTTATATTGCCTCATAAGTTAAGTTATAAGTCATCAAAATGAATGAAATGTAGGTAAATTATGCTTGATACTTGAAAATGCCTTAAGAAAAAAACAGCTCTCTCCGTAGGGTTTCATTTATTTTGTTGGCAGCTCATCCCTCAGTTTGCTTATAATAAGGTGAACTAGGAAAGGTATATTTCAAGCTTGTTAGGTAAATAAGTTATTGGGCCTTTTTTTAATCAAATAAGATATGTTAGAAAATGTTTCCAACTTGAATTGACTGAATTTATTTGATAAGTGGGCTTATTAACACATGAATACTACTGTGTAATATATTTGTACATATATATTTAAGAAGTACAATATAACACAAGCATAAGTTTCATTTGTGGGCCGTATTACATTATACTTTTAGAATTTGCTGAGGGCCGATGCAAAATGGCCCCCGGGCCGTAGTTTGGACACCCCTGCTGTAGAGTCACCTCAGTTTGGACTCAGTTCCGTGAAGCTACATGCAGGAACTCTGCCTGCACACTCTCTCTGTTGACCCCTGCCTTCTGTTACTACATCACTCCATCTGACCATACTGTCCGTCACCAACATGGATCAGAAATGGTATAAAACAACTTATGTAGAAGTTCTGTCATGTATTTATTTTGTCTAGAAATATTTAAAGGTCTCCTATCATGCAAAATGCACTTTTTGATATCTTTAATACAAATAAAATATGTGTCCCTGGTGTGCCAGGGAACTCACAAAGTGTCAGAAAACAAAACCCTCTCTCTTTTCCTCCATACCCACATCTCTAAAAACGGGGGAACAACGGAGCTGATCCAGATTTGCGTCATATATGACGTAATATCGGAAATGTGGGCTGGCTTAAGACCGACGACCCTATCAGAAATGTGGCTGTATCAGAAACAATGCGCAATGTTGTGGACGTAATGGGTTGCGGTCGGATAATCCAAAAATCAGCTCCTAAATTCTAACCCTATCGTCTATTCCTTGACCTCTGAGTGAAACGTCACAGGGTTAAGGGATAGTGGATAGGAGAATTCAAAAGGATTTAGGAGAAGAGACTGCGGTACTTTAGAGAATCCGACTGCACTTTCACTATCCGACGTGTTTATGATGCGCCAGCGGAGGTCATAAATGTGCGCCTGCTGCTGTGGGGAAACTATGGAAACTACAGTGTTCTATACAGCGGACTACAACATGGATGTTTAATAAGAACGAGGGACTACTGTAAACTCATCTAGAGACTCTGCACCGTGCTCTGATGCTGTTGATTTATGCTTTATGAACGGGGACAACAGAGAAACATATTCTTCATGACCAAAGTTGGAATTGAAATAAAAAAGGAAAGTGAAACTTATGCTCGTCACCCTCTCCCTCCGGTCCACATTAATACAAATGATCCCAATACGTATGATTGTATGAAAAGATCTTAAAATCAATACAAATGTATTTATTATAAACGTTAGTCCTTAACATCTATCACTGTGTATATCACCATTCAAACATCTTTGAAAAGTTGAACAAACCCCACATAGCTCAGTAAAGACTGTGAAATGTTGACTTTATTTGATGATTTCAGTAAAAACTAACGTTCATATTTCTCTTTTTGATTATAATACTGATGAACGTTCAAAACAAAGCACTTTGGCAACTTACCACATACGTTTTAAAAAGCTTAATAAGCACCGTAACTTTCATGATATCATTTCTCGGTCATAATCGGTTGTTTCCGTGAACGGCCGACTGTTGTGTGACGGCAAATGCTGCGGCTGCAAGGCATTGTGGGGCAGCATTTTCTCCTCTCCTTTCGGCGAGGGAGGTCCAGTGGTTCCTAAGCTAAAGGAGGTTATAAAGGAAGTTTGAAACCTCCTTTCCTATCATCTAGAGCAGTGGTTCTCAAACTTTTTCTGTCAGGCCCCCCCTTTGGAGAAAAAAAAGAAGTCGGGCCTCCCCAACACAAGTCAGGCTCAGTGGCGGCGCCAGAGATTTATTTTGGGGGTGCTGTGGGGTAGCTTGACGTTTCATAGAGGGTGCTCAAACATTTAGGGTTTCCCATTAATGTACCGGGCGCTACAGTTGAATTTTCTACTGCAACACTCCCCACGCATATACACAATGTACCCGCGACTGTTACGGTACGTCCACACAGCAGCGTTAAAAAAATCTTCCAACGCTTCTGCCCATTCACTTTGCCTCACTTTTTGCCGAACTGCATTGTGGGAAGCAGAGCGGAGCTTTCCAAGCATCTCAGGCTTCAAAAGTTGAGCAATGTTCAACTTTTGAAGCTTCTGAAGCTTTCGGTGGCCAGCAAAATGAAGAGATCTATGGATACCTCTCTCAACACCCATTTGAAACAGAACTGTAAACAGATTTACTTTTTCTTTATGGATATTTTACAAATCACCCTTTTAAACTTTATTCTTTTTTTACTGTCATATAGTATTTCATACCTGTTTTTCATTTATTCTCTTTTTTATAACTATAATGATCATATAAACGTGTGCCTCGGAAATAATTGTTTACATTAATGGTGACCAAAACGTTTGAGACCCACTGAGATAACACTGAGAGAGTCCTTTAGCTCACTGAGTCTCTCAGTCTGACAGGAGAGGACTCTCCTCCACTCTGTTGTTGAAAAAACTCCTTATATCCGTTAGCGTAGCTCGCTAGCACCAGAAGCTAACAACAACGATCTCCGGTACCGGTGCGCTCTCTCTCTCTCGCTCGCGCACGCACACAAAATGGCTCGTTCCACACACACACAGAGCCGAGCTTTAATGAAACACAGAGACCCAGACGTAATAGTACTGTACTGTATCATATTATTTTCTAATCAATAATTTTTCAAATTATGATATATATTTTTTTTAATAATAACCATTTTTCCTCCTGGTCTCTCGCGCCCCCCCTGTCATGCCTCTGCGCCCCCCACTTTGGGAACCACTGATCTAGATAATTCGAACGGCACTTATCATTGCTGCCACTGAGGGACTTCCGGGTCATTTCACTCCGTTAGGAAGGTTCCTAAGCTAAATGGACTATTCGACTTCAGCCCTGGTCTGTGTTTACATTAGCAAGCATCGCTAACACTCAGAGCTAACCTGTAATGGAGAGAGTATGTGTGAAAAAGCAGGAAATAAAAAAAGGAACTCACTCAAAAAAGCATTTGAGTTCCATACTGTTTCAGAAATAATCCTTGATGTGGTTTGGAACATGATATGGCGTTTAATCACGGCAGCATTTAGCTGCCTCTGAGCAGAGCAGACAGCTCCACAGAATCACAGTGTGCCTGCTGCTCAAAAGGGGGCGGGGAATCAGCCATTCTCTAACAGGGCTCAAATAGAGGGATATGAGGGATGTCTAAAATGCATGATCTGTTTGGTATTTTGAGCAAAACACATCATAGATATGTTTTTTATATTTCCGAGACCCATAATATATGCCTAAAAATAGCATGAAAGGAGATCTTTAATATTTTTATTCCCGTTTGGATTATTGTGTAGAGTGCACTTCGACCTCCTGTGTCCGATGGTAATAGAACACTAAACACCTGGCAACACTTGGCTTCCACAAGTGTATCCTGGCAACATCTTTTCACCAGTTTAGTCATCATAAACACAGGTTTTAACTGCCACATTAGGGGTGGTAAGTCATTCATAATTCATTACTTTTTAAAACATATCATCTCACGTTGGCAAAACAGGAAAAGCCAGGTTTGAGTTAACAATGGCTCTGTGTCTCAGTAAGTAACAGTAACAGGACAGTAAAAACACAACACCAGCAGCTGGAAACAGCTCACTGACAGGATGCAGTCAATTCTCATGCGATCAATAAAGCTTGCTTTTTACAATGACAGGCCAAAACTAAATAAAAAGAATGAGGCTACATTTTCATGTTCCTTATGAAAGTAGAGTAATGATGTCTCTGCAGTCTGAATCTGATCACACGCTCTGCCTTTAGACCCAAGCTGCTCGGTCCAGTGTGTGTGTGCGTGTGTGTGTCCCGCTGATCACGCCTTCACATTTTATAAAGATTATAAAGCAATCTGCAGCGCTGATGCTCCAGCCTGACCGAATCACGGCTGATTAAACCGAGGACGGGTAATTAACCCGGATGAGTCCATTAGTCTATATTTACTCTCTCTTTTGTCTTCTCCTTCCGCTCATGCTCTCTGTCTTCCCTTTTTAAGACCCCATGTGCCATAAGACCCTCATTAGTGAGTGTTTGATAAAGAAATCAAAGGCAGAGAACAGACAAATGAGAGTGCTCATTTCCCCTCATCTCATCTCCAGAACGAAGCTGCATCACAAAGCTCTGGTTAATGGAACCGAGTACTTGCTGTAAAGGATCTGACTAGCGACTGTGTCATTTGATATAGCTATAACTACAAGCCAAACAAGAAACCAGGATCATTGAAGGATATTTGTTCACCAAGGCACTTTTTCTACCTGTTTTATATTGTTAGATTTTCTTGTCTTTACTTACTGTGTTAATTGTAAAGTGCTAACATCTTTCCTGTCAGTGTCCTGCAGCTGCTGAATAACACCTGTCTCAATAGAAGGACCTGTATAATTGGACTGTACCATTCTGCTAAAAAAGAGTGGTGTCTTCTTCATCTAAGCCATGCCTTTTTAAGAAGAGAACCATGGACTGAGCAGCATGGATATATCATCTTAAATTGATAGAGGAAGGCGGTGCTGCTCATAAAATATATAATTACCTTTTCAAGATTTTTTTTTAACCCATTCTTTACTTTGTAAATGGATTAGGTAAATACAATTTCTATTTTTCAATAGAAATTGACAAAAAAAATGTTCTTGTGGATGCTTTCAAGAGTGCGCAGAAATGCAGACAGAAGAGCGTTAAAGATGTGAAAGTAGAGAGAAAGAAGCGAGAGCAGAGAGACAGAACTGGACAGAGGGAGAGACGTTTATTGACAGCTGAGATACAGAGGAGAGGCCTGAAGCTAGTCACACAAACAATATCTCTTGGGTTTGTTGGTAGAAAAGACATGTTTAATTTGGGCTAATCTGAATTTTTACCACAAAAGAAAATGGACTCAAGCAGAGCATTTGTAACATCTCCTGAAGAAAACATGTTGCAGCTGAAGCACCAGAGATGAGTGAAAAAAACACTTCCTCAGATGGAACAGGAACCAGTGTCTGTGCATCTCTGCTTCAAATGAGACAGAGGACTGGAGGACGAGTAATAATCAACAATACATCTGTTTCTACACGTTTAAAACCTGATCAACAGACATTAGCAGTACATCTGTTTGAAGACACAACAGACCAAATCAGACTAAAGGCACACACTTTGGTCCCAACAGGCCTCCTCCCACAATCAGAGACCAAGACCAGAATCACATGTTGAAACCGTGTGTGTGTGTGTGTGTGTGTGTGTGCACCCACTCACACACTGGTTCAGAAAAGAGTCACTTTTTCAGGTGGCTCTATTCTTCACTAAAAACTCCACTTTAGGGTCATCAATGTGTAAGCATGTGTTAATGTAATCATATTCAATTGTCCTCAACAAGCATCATGAGCCTCAAAGAATGATTCAAATTTCCCAGAATGCCTTTAGAGTAGACATCCTCCTAGAAAGGGTTTGTCAAAGCTTTCGTTTAAATAATCTATGAACAGCTTCAAGGTGATTGTTCAGCTACTGGAATATTAGGGAAAATGGTATTTTTATATTTTCAAATTGTACGTCACTGAACAACAAGGAACATGTGGTGTTGAAACTACATTTAAAGTGATTCTGTGTGCTGCAGCAACATTTTTAAAGCTGCAAGCTGTTCTTGTGTAGGTACCCAACATGCCTACAAAGTATACAAGTGTGTTGGTAATGTAAAACTGGTCATATTTACATTGCAGATGAGAGCAGAACAGCATGAAATGCACGCTAAGCTTTAATGAAAATCCCATCCATCTCTTTACTTTTATTTTGTAAATGTTTTTACTTACTATTTGAGTGCCCCAAAGTCATTTAGAGGAGTGAACTGGCACACTGAGAAACTGTTTTAAAGACAACTGTAGCGAGGCAGCAGCTGATACCCTCCAGAAGGAAAGAGTCGTCACCATGGTGATGATGGAGTGACATGACAGGTATTTTGGAGTTACTACAAAAAAGGGAAATGATTGTATGGACAACATCTGGTAGTTTGGGTTTCAAATGTGCATTCGCTTGGGGAACAATAAGTGGTTCAAGTAGCAACAAATGTGAAATAACAGACCTCTAAATATAGGAGAAAAACAACACTACTACAAAACCGACAGGTTATCACTGGGTAGGGAAATACAAATAAACAGCTGTTTGCCCTTGAAAAGAAAATCTAATCTAAAACCAAAACTCTGCTGAATAAAGGGAAACAACAGGCTGAAAAGAAGCGTTCAACATTCCTCTCTGGACAATTCTTTAAAGGTTTTGGGACCGATGAGCAGATTCTCAGATTCACAGGAGGCTGTGATCAGAAGGGTGCTCCTGTAGACATCACTACGGCAACAGGAGATCATCTAAACAGGATGATCAGCTGCTGTCTGCTGCAGAAAGGTGTTTACTTTGAAAACTACCTTTAGGCCAACACTGATGGTTGTTCTACTTCTACTGATCAAGAAAATATATTTGATGCTTTGGAAATTAAAGCACATTTAAGTGATAAAACATTGTACTACTTAATCAAATATGTGGGGAAAGTGCAGCAAAGGTTAACAGAAAATGTCCAAAAATGGTGTGGACTTCCTCCTGTCAGGGTTAGATGGTAGACTTGGAAAAGGAAACTTTCAGATGGTGATTTCCTCCCATGTCATAGTTGTGAAGCTCCATCAGAGTCTGGATGGCTTCCTCCACCGACGTCATCTGGATCAGGGCCATCTTACGGTCCCTGAGGAGGCAGCACAGACAAACCGCTCAATATCATGGTGAGTAACCGGGAAAGATTCACAATATGTCATCTCTCTGCAGGGTAGGGATTATTCCTGGAAGGTTAGCTGAGAACCTACTGATTGTTAATGTATAGTACAGAAGATATGAGTCTAGTTTGTTTTTATATTACTATCAAATGATTGAGTTGAATGTTGAAATATTTCATAGATATATAAGAATATAAAAATAATTAAGAAGAGTTCAGGTGTTGAAATGATTCTTACTGGAAGAACTTGAAGGCCTTGACAGTTCCTCCACTGTTAGAGAACAGAAGGCGGAGATCATCCTCTCCAACTCCATCCCTGGACGAGCAGAGGTAACGCAGTGTTAGAGCACAGCAGCACGGAGGGATACACTGATTCAACTATTGGCATGGCGTAAGAAAAAGAGTGTTACGACTGACAGATGAAGTGGTTGTACTACCGGACATTGGAGAGGTGAAGTGTTGCAGAGGGAGGAAAGATGTTCTGGAAGTTTTTGGAGCCTGGCTTCTTAAAGCGATGGAGAGGTGAGCCAGAAAAATCTGTCCAACACAAACACAATATAGACATAATGACAATGTGACCCATACAGATTGGTCAAGAGGAAATAAACCTGGAGTAGCTTTTATTCAAGATGCAGATACGTCTTACCTTTGGTTAGCAGTTGGTCGTCCAGCCCCTCTCTGGGCAGAGCCACAGTCTGATGTTTGGACAGCGTCACTCTCATAACTTTACCAAACACCTTTTGACCATTCAAGTGGCTCATCGCTACACATGAGGACAAAAAGGAAATACGGATTAGTGATAAAGCATAAAAGCATTTCCAAATATGCTGACACAGTACATCAGGCCCGTATGTCCATTATATGAAATCCATAAAAAATGTCTATGGTTAAATAATACATTACCTTGCTATATATCTAGTATTGGTGTAGCCTAACCTTTATCTGCAACTGTGCAGAAATACGGGCTTTAACAAAAGTGAAACAATTAAATAATTAAAAAAACTACATCATTTGAATGTCAATGTTTTAAATATGTTACAACTCTTCAAACTAGTCGGTACAGAAATATATTGATTTCACTAACTATATTTCAAAATATGTTTTTTATGTTAAGCTGAGCACAGAATGCTGTGTTCCACATTCCTCTCAGAGAAAATGTTCATGTATTGCATATCCGGTTTTAAATTCTGTATTCTATATATTGGATACAAATCCAGGAGCAGGGGGTCAGTGTGCATATCAGGACTTCACCATCACATGTGCTTTCATAGTCAAAAACATCAAATCTTGATTCAACTGGTTTTGCATTTCAAAAGAGTGCTGCAGAATTCAGCCCTAAAACCCTGAAATGAGTCGGCAGTTTACAGCTTTTAGTTTCCTGGTCTTGGAGTTCTTGCTTTTTAAATGTGTTTTTGTTTAAATGTTTAACACAAGATGAAGAGATTTGAAATGTTGTTCCACAACATCAAATACGTCAGTTAACACCCCACTGGTGAATGTCTGAAGCCTCTGATTAAATCGGTGGTTGCTAACGAGTGTCTAAAAGAGACTTCTCTAAATCCCTTGCGATGCTAACTTCCCAGTGGGCTTACAGAAATATGATGCTGCTGCTGTAAACACTCACCCAGCTGAGCCTGGTTGCCGTCAGACAGCTGGATCAGAGCACTGTCCTTCTTGTTGTAGAGGATCTTCACCCTCTGGACATCACCATACACTCCTGAAGGTAGAGAGAGAGCGAGAGAGGCAGACCAAGACAGGGAGAGAGAGGGAGAGAGAGAGAGAGAGATAGAGAGAGAGAGAGAGAGAGAGAGAGAGCTAGAGAGAGAGAGAGAGAGAGAGAGAGAGAGAGAGAGCAGGGTGGAGTAGAGGACCAGAAAGAGGACAGAACAGACAGAGCAGGAGAGATGGAGCCAACGAAGATAAAAAAGAAGAGGTGTGAAGGACGAAGGGAATAAAGTTAGTGCTAGAACGACAAATGAAAGGAAAAGATGGAATCCTCCCATTTGACATCCACTAGAAACTCAGTCAGAGCCTTCTGTACAGCAGAGTGACTCCGCCGAGATTCACCAGCCACATACAACGCTTCAAAATGTAAAACCATAACTGCACAGGGTAGGAGAAAAATCTATTTTTAGAAAACCTTTGAAAAGACATGCACCAACTGCTGATAGAATATGTTGTAGAGACAAATATGTACAATTAAATACAGAAAGAAGACCTAATACCATTTTTAGTTTTTAGGCCTTGATAATTTAAGGCTTTAAAAGATATAGGCGTATCCTCAAGTAGCTTACACAGTAACAAACACGTCTACTGTGAGCGTTACGATGGGCCTAGTTTAAGAGTTAGAGTAACCCCAATGTCATAGTTGTACACATTTAAATGAAAAGGTGAACTATGAATACTCTTTATTAGTCCAAATCTGGAGAAAAAAAGCAGAAGGACAGAAGGACTGTAGAGGAATGAGTCTTAGGGTGCATTCACACCTAATAGTCCGCTTCTCTGGTGCGCACCAGACCACAGTTTGTTGCATTGTTTCATTTTTCAGAAGGTTCGGTTTGCGTTCACACGGGCAAAACTCAAACGGACTATAAACTTTAAACACAAGTCATGTGCTCGGAAATGCTGTTCAACCATTGGTCAGACATTAAGGGGGTAAAAACGCAAATCCAGGCAATTTCTACCGGAGCCTCCGCCATGGAGCATGCAGGTTATTTTCATGCTGTTGTTAATCTGGAGAGCATATCAACAGCAACGGCGCATATGATTATATAATCAGACAACGTGCGATACAAAACATTATAACACATAGGCCTATAATGAGAGACGTTCTGCAGTCAGGAGGGGGTTTCACCGACGGCAGGTGGCTCTGACTTTTATGTATAGTTTTTAGTTTGATAGTTGTTTTTACTTTACACGACACTGTTCAACACTTCATTCTGCTTCACTCTTCCGCTATCGATTTTGAAGACACCCGCGTTCTTGTGACACGTAAATACTACGCTTCCTATGTTTTGGTGCGGACTGCGTTCACACCAGCAATGAACAGCTCCAGAGTTCACTAGCCAGCGGTCCGAGACCACCTATTTTAGCGGACCAGAGTCCGGTTGTTTAGTTCACTTAAGAGGTCTCGGACTGTGTTCACACCGACCCAAACGAACCGCACCAAGCGGCTAAACGCACCAGGGTTCGATTCAACCGGACTATAAAAGGCTGGTGTGAATGCGCCCTTAGTAAAGCTCCAAAACCATTCAACATACAGTCTCTGGAATGAATAAATGACTACAATCTGTAGTAGTGATTTTAGCACTTCCATCTTTGGCCGAGTACAGTTGTCCTTATATAGTTTGTACAATGAAATATTTTCCTGTGGTAATTATTGTTTCTGCAAGCTGCAGCCATGCTATATGCTAATAGTTTGAGTATTATTATTATTACACTATTGTGAACCTCACAATAACCTGTGTGTGAAAGTAGAGGGACGCTTCACACCACGTCATGGAACAGAGTCTCCACAGCACAGGAAGGATTTTGGTGTAAATCAGTGTATCAGTAAAGAAATAAGCGGACCAAACACACAGTATCCTGTGTAACACACATGATAGAGGGAGGCTTGGAGATACAGAAAGATACAGAGGAATAGCTTGTCCACGACCTCACTGAAGAAAGTGAACAAAATTGGATTAACAGAGAGAGATATACAGATAGAATAGAAGAGGTTGAACATACCGAAGAGGGTAAAGATACTTTGAGGCGTGACCATCTTTAGAGAGAGAGACCGCAGAGCAGAGGACAGGAAGAGGAGGAGCAGAGGAAGAGGAGAGACGAAGGTAGAGATCAGACGCCCAGTGTTGGACGAGGGGGGAGGTGGTGGTTTCCATGGTGATGAGCAAAGATGGAAGGTTTTGGAGGGGTCAAAAATGGCAAACCCAAAGTCGGGTTGGACCGGATTAAAAACCGTGAGGAGGGAAGATAGGAAAAGGAGTTTAAAAAAAAGAGAGAGGGAAAGGTTTCAAGGGGAAGTTTATGACATTAAAGGATGTTTGGGCAAAAGGGGAGAACATAAATGTGTGAGGGGGGAGCAGAGGAGGGAAGAAAGGAGGCGGGAAGGGAGAAAGGAGGAGAGGAGGACAAAAACCAAAGCAGAGGTCAGTAAACAGAGCATCAGTGGAACATCAACGGAGTCTGAATGATGGCTGGTTCCATTCCTCACACACACACACACACACACACACACACACACACACACACACACACACACACACACACACACACACACACACAACACACACACACCACACACACACACCACACACACACACACACACACACACACACACACACACACACACACACACACACACACACACACACACACACACACACACACACACACACACACACACACACACACACACACACACACACACACACACACACACACACACACACACACACACACACACACACACACACACACACACCTGTTTTCACACGCATATTTCCTGCTGGATGCATTGATCAGTGAGGTCAAGAAAGGATGGGTAGAAAATAATACATTTGAGAACGGAAAAATGAATAAAGCATGAAATATATAAGTGAATGAGGGATGAACTGTGATTGGCAGGAGATATCAGACCAAAGGGGGGCGGGACCATGGAGCAGAGGGACAACCAGATCACATGAGGCCACTGAAGGGGAACAAACAATGCCACTTACATTTGGTAACTTTATTGCAAAAATATATATTCATATGTTTTTAAGGAAGTAAATCTTCAAATATAATCTGCAAAATAAAAAAATAAAAATTTGGACCACGCCATATTTCTTTTGATTCAGCGGGATAGTGGGCTGCTTAGTACTCTGTGTTACCAGCGTCAATGACTAATAAAAGTCTCAGTTTCAGGAATGACCAAAATCACACAGTAGCAAGTCGTTTTGAAGCTTCTGCAGTCAAATGATACCTGCATTTCGATGGCGGCGTTATTGTTTAAATGCAATATGTAGCGAAGTCAAGTGTGCATTTCACGGAGTTGGTCATTAATACTTCACCTAACAGTTTTGTACAGTTATTTAATACATTTCAATTTTTTTTTACACTTTAATATATATTTGTCTTGTAAATATTCAATGGGGAGGGGTGGTGGTATTGAAAAGTTTTGACTGAATCCATTGGTATCGTTATAACTTCATGGGTACTGGTGTCATCATTTTTTACATCATGTTTTACAATATAGAAAATGTCTCACTTTGTCCAGTTCTCAAGCAAACTGGGTTTATACAGTCAAATGTGTATTTTGTGTTTCTAATGCTACGCTGGAGACAGGGGAAGTGTACTGCATACAACTGACTCAGTTCTGACCAGAGATCTGTCCATTTGATGACACAGTTGAGAAAGAATGAACAAGTGACTGAGAAAACCATCCCCAGGACTCAACACTCACAACGTGAACAATGGCCACACCAAAATCAACCCCCCAAGTGTATGCTGCTGATTGGTCACCAGAGAACAGCCAAGACACAAAATCCCTTTAGAAAGGGAAACGTGACTCCACTATGGAGTCTGACAGAGGAACAGAGAGAGAACCCAGAGCACTCTGACGGAGAGATGGAACACAGATCAGATAACAGATACTGGAGAGGACCAGATGGAGTAGGTACACATTTAGAATTAGAGAAGAAAATGAAAACTGACAGAAGAAACTGAAATCTAAGATATAAGTATGTAAGGTGGGAATTTAGTTAAGAGAAACAGAGCTTCAAAAACAGAACTTTGGAGATCAGATAGAGACATAATGTACTATTTCAGGGTGGACAAACACAATCACAGACCAACACAGTAAATCATACTTCAATTAAGCTGAAAATGATCCAGTGGTGTGGGTTAAATTGTGAAAATGAGTGATTTAAAGAGGAGATTGCAGATACTCATTGAGTTAACTTATGGCATGTGTACCTCTTCATTTAGGTTTGATGCCAACAGGACTCCTGACACTCCGGACCCGGACAGAGCAACACGACCAGCCGCCGCCGCCGCTGCTGCTGCGGCGCTCAGAGGACTGATGGCTCCTGGTGGCACAGCACGAGACAATCAACATGTCACACAGCAGCAGGAAGCACAAACCACTAAAACACTTGCTGCAACAAAACACAAACCCAAAACAAATCTTAATCTTAGCCGCTTTCACAATTATCTCACAGTTTTACGACATCAAAATAATGCAAAGAAATCTGAAGCACAAAAAGAAAAATATATTATAATGAAGGATGGAGATGTGCTTGCTTCCTCAATCAACAAGATGGCAAGATTTTAATTACAAAATACATTATAATTAATGTGCAACTTTTTAAAGTTCTAAAACTGAATTAAAGTGCACTTGCACTGCACTGAACTGTTATCAAACAACCTAGTCCTAGGGCCCACAGTCACACAAACTAATATATAAAACACCCTGCATTCTGCTATGTCCATACATATATTCAATTTCGATATTTCAATATATTCAAGGGTAGCACATTTGATGATGCGTTCTTACTGTTTCACTGCATATGCAAAGGATTGCGCCACAACAATGTTTCATGATAATGACTTAAATAAACCTTAACAAAATGTACTTTTTGTGAAAATACACACAAAAGTAAAAGCAATTATAGCCCAGTAATTCTGCACTACACATATGCAGCTGGTTAAGAATTAACTAGCTAAGGAACCTCAGTTTACAAAAGTCTAAGCCACATTTTGAGTCACAATTAATTTAGGCTTATCAATTCCAGTTGACCTGCATCAAAATATGTAATAAAGAAAACGATGTTTACAACATAACTGATTCCAGCTAATCATAAATATATTTCCCTCATCTATTAATATAGCTGTACTATCAACCAACCACTGAATTTGAATTATTTTCCAGTGCTTGCACTTTTAGAGAACGATAATAGGACATGACATGAGACAGGGCAGCAGCATGAAGGAAAGAGCAGAGGCAGAGTGATGGAAAACAGAATCATTATTATTAGGAATGATGAAAAGATAGGTACCTCCGCCCTGCGAGAGGGAGAGAGAGTTTGAGTATCCTCCTCCACTCGAGTAGGAAGCTAGCGCTCCAGATGGGGTACCTAAGAGACAACGACAACTAGATTTATACCACAAAACACTGATATAGTGTAAGAGTACAAATACCAAAAGACCAGCAACAGTCTGAGTCTGCAAATGATTGAAACCGTGACAGTATGATACCGTGGGAACATGTTGAAGAAACTCGTTTTGTAGCTGAAATGAATATAACTAATTATCTTGCTCCCAACAGACTAGAAACAATATTTGTTCTAATATAAAGTGAAATACTGTTGACACAATGATAGTAAGTAACATTTATAATAAAGCGCTTTTCACAGACATAGTGCTTGACAAAGCATTAAAACATCATACGAATTAAGTGCTCAAAACACAATAAAAGCACACAAGTGACCCAACCGCCTGCCCAAACAGGAATGTCTTTAAATGACATTTCAAAGAGTCTACAGAGTCAGCGGACCGTAGGTGAGCGGGCAGAGCGTTCCAGTTTAGGAGCCGCAGCCTGGAACACTCGATCACCACGGGTCTTAAGGCGAGTACGTGGGACAGACAGTAGGTTGAGCATGTTTGTCCTGAGAGAGCGAGCAGATGAGTATGGGTGACTTTCATGATAGCACACTTATACGTCAAAAATACAAAGACAGTATAACTTCAAGTGAAATGTCGTTTTGGTTGTTTTCCAAAAAGATTGCATTCTTTATATAGCAGCATGTTTTATTAGGGTTTCCCCGATTGCGTGTGGCTTTTTTGCCTGTGCGATTATTTATGCCACCTCATATGATGTCTTTTGAGCTTTGGTAAGGATTGTTGTTTGGTTAGGACTTTCTTTTGGCTTTGCAATTCTCTCTCCTTTCGGCGGAGTGGCAAGAGACGGGTGCTTCGTTTTCAAGTGTATGAGCATTTTTACGGGCTTTAAGCTCTCATGTGTTAGCACCTCAGTGCACACTACACTAGGGATGGGCACCGAGCCCGGTATTAAAGGGCCCCGGGGATGACTTATTAAAGACTGTGGTACCATTAAGCTCCAACGTTATCTGTCTTTTTATCGGTACTGGAGACATTTAAAAAGATATATGTCGTGTGTTATTGCTACATAAACAACACACACACACACACACACACACACACACACACACACACACACACACACACACACACACACACACACACACACACACACACACACACACACACACACACACACACACACACACACACACACACACACACACACACACACACACACACACACACACACACACACACACACACACACACACACACACACACACACACACACACACACACACACACACACACACACACACACTTTGGAGTAAATACTTGTTTTTTTTACAGTTCTGTAAGTTCACATTATTTACAATTTGTTTAGTTAATTAACCTCAGGAGTAGGATAACACAGGTCAAATGTACTTGTTTATCAAATAAACTGTTCGCATGTATTTTGACCCACATTCACACCCCGATTAAAAACAGTAACAAAGATGTTGGTGTCGGGAACAGATGGAAAATATAAATGAAATGGTCAATAAATATATAAATATAGGAGTGGTTCCACAGCATAGAAAAAGTATTCTCTTAAGCATGACTGTTATTGAATATGAATCTGATCATTATAAATTATTAAGAAACAAAGTCCATCATCAATGCAATAACTTGGATGAAAAAATGAAAAAAATTGGATGACAGAATTGGTAAATGATATTGATATACCATCCAGCAAGAGGATACTCTAATGATGCAGCATACATCCAAACATAATGTAAATACACCTCGTGTGACTTATTTGATGTTGTAGAACAAGTAAGCTTGTGTTAACTACAGACCATATTTTGGGAATCCAACCAAACATTCTAGTCAATGTTTCAAATCTTCGAGACGGGGGAATCCTTGAAATGCTAACTAATTTCCGGGTTTAGGACTCATTCCTGTATTACTCCATACTGAATTCATTGTATTTGAAAACATATTTTGCCTTTAATGATTATTACGTCAACTGCAAATTGGATATTGAACTTCGGTCCATGTTGTGTTTTTTTTAATTAATTTCAGATGTATTGATCAGCCCTGACTCTTTAGTGTGCTAGGATGTTATAACTGATCTCTGACCAGGATGAACACTTTATCTATGACTGGGTTGCTATGATTAGTGATGAAACATGAATGCATGTGAATAATATATTTCTAATAATTATAAATAAAGTGTGTTAAAGAAAATACATCAGTGACTATGTAAAAAATAAATAAAGATAGGATGAAGCATGCATTACCACAAGCATGTGACAAATAAACCTATCCATATGTTATTTTCTGTATTATGAGGCACCCTGACTGATGCACACATAGGTGTTTGCTAGCACTAGCAAAGGAACAACTTAGAGGGGGTCTTTTTAGCGGATAGAGGGGGCCATTTGTGTAGAAGCTCAGTATTATAAATACTCCATTGGGATACATGAATGGATGTAGTGTAGTTAGACAACGACAGAAGTGTGTTTACCCAATAAAGAGTGATCCTTGTTGGCTGACTCTCCGTCTCCAGTAGGAAGGTCAGGTCTGGTGTAGTCTCGACTCTTATCATTGTTGTATTTCACGTTGAGGTTCACCAGTTTACTGAAGTCTATCCGCAGAGTACAGCATGAGTTATAGATGTTCTGTCCATCCAAAGACTGGATGTGGGAAACGGGATAAAGAATTAAACTATTCTTTCAACAACATTTCATTGATAAGTATCAGCTGAAAGGAGTAGTAATTGTTTGTCCTTTACATGAACAAACAATCTTGAATTTCTTTTGAATGTTTTTTTAAAGATTTGTGCCCATGATACATACTAAACTGGACATTTAGAGTTATTCATCTCCTTGGCTGATGTGTCTGTCTACATCTAAAGCCAAACATGTTAAAATGGCTGAAAGGCAATATGTTAACTGCCTGAATTGAATCTAAATCCTGTTATTGCATAGTTAGAAACTTGACTAAAATAGAAATAAGATAAGAGGTACTTGTTTGTATTGCAGCAGCATAAAAAACAACAACAAATTATAATAAAATAACCATATTATCAGTTAACCAAAATGTTCATGCAGTGTGGTCCTACCAGTTTAGCTTGTTGTGCATTGACGGGTTCGCTGAACTGCAGAAGAGCCTGAAACTGGTTGTTCTTGGTGAAGGTTATAATCTTCATTACCGTCCCAAACTTACTGAAGATCTGCAAAATTCAAAGAATTCATGGTGAAAAAAACCCATCACAAAGCTAGGATATAAATAACAGTTCACCAGGTCAAAATATTAGTTTTAAGTTATGCACACACACACACCCAAACAACTATCACATTATGAAAATAACATGTCAACTAATATGTGCTTTTGAAAAAATATATTCAAAACATTAGTCATAATTAAAAAGGCATGGGGGTGTGTGTACCAATGGGGGGTCTAGACAACATGTTCAGGTGTTACCTGTTGTAGAACATCCAGTGTGACAGGATAAAACATGTTGTCGATGATTATTCGTAGGACAGGGCTGGGGGGTGGAGCTAGGTCTAAAACTCCAGGGTCAGAGGATGGAGAGCTTCCATCCTGAACGGCTGACACCGCCTGCAGCACTGCCTGGGCCCTCTGGGTGGAGAGAAAACAATGGATTTATGATGGGGGGAAAGGCCCTCAGACTGGTGAAGCTGAAGTCAAGTGTATAAATATATCTCTGTGTACCTGGTTCAGAGCGGAGTCTGTTTTCAGTTCCTTATGGTTAGAGTACTGGATGAAGACAGGAGTGTTTCGGACCTAAATAGAATAGGAACCATTTAATAAGCTATTTATTTAGCAGATCAAGAGATTACAGCAGAAATTATATTGTGCAACAGGAATGGACCACACACCTGTGGCGTGACAGCTGTGTAGTAGTTCACCATCGTAATGGCTGCTTCTTCTGTACCCAGCTCCAGAAAAGCCTGAAAAACAGAGTAATATTTATCTTTATGTGAATAACAAATAATATCCAGGACAATGTTTTACTGTCTTCTTTTCTTTAGAGAGGGAACATTTTATTCAGTTGAAGCTAAAAGTGGGATGCCGTTGTGTCAGAGTTTACCTGGTTTTTCCCCTTCAGCATCAGTATGTTGGTGACCTTTCCAAAGGGCAGCCCCAGAGCAATGACTTCAGTCTCTGACACTTCATTGGGAAGTTTCCTGATGTGGAGAACTCTGGAGGGAGGGGATTCGTCCAGACGCTGTTTCTTAGTGTCACTGCCGTTTGCTGCACAAATCATATTTTAAGACATTAATCAGAATATGGCTCCACAAATCTGCATTAAAGATGAAGTCAATAAGTGTATATAGTATAATAAATGATGACTGAGTTCTGTTTGGCTGCCTTATTCCTGGCATTATACATGATGGCTCACTTATGGTTTGCTGGAACACTTGAAAAGAATATAGCCTAATAACAATTGTTAGCACTTTTGCTTGTCCTCCATTATAAGTCAAAATGTCTGCTGGGAAATTGGCCTTTCATTATTTAATTGACAGAAGAATATTTTGCAATTATTTAAATAGTCAACTTAATGTAAAACATCAAGTTCAGCAGCAGAAATGACAAATATTCCCTTGTTCCAGCTTCTCAATTTTTATTTAAAAAAAAGTTTGGTAGTTGAATCAGAAGATTAGATTTTCTAGCCCCAAAATCTAGATTCCCTTTAGATGTAATTTGTTTGCTTACAGATAGAGAACCTTACAATTATTTAACATATCCAGTATGCAAGGTTTGTATATAACATACAGTACCCTGCTTGTTCAGCTCCCTTTATTCATGATTCTAATGTTTTCTGATCATCTGTGCAGGATAGTCATTCAATAATCAAAATCCTAGACAGCCTTTCTCATTTTTGAATCCTGATAGTACTGACAAACATATACCACCAATGGAACACTTCTCAACCACTTCTCCGTCTTCTAAATCTCTTGACTCCAGCTGTGATGTGTAAGGATTACATTTACCAGTCATAGAGGTAGGGCTGCTGCTGTACATGTTGAGCTCCTCTGAGCCTCTCTGGATAAACAAGGACAAAAAGGGAAATAAAGTAAATGTTTATTCTCAGTGACAAAATACTACCAAACGTACATTAAACATCATACTGTATTCATCCTGGCTTGTCTGAACTGCAATGTACACATTGGGTGCGTCTCACTTCGGTTATTTTTCATTTCCTCGGGCTCTGTATCACCGGAAGTTGATTTGTCTGCGACATCTTGAGTACCGTCCCAGTGGCCTTATTTTTGCCGGAGGATCGAGGAGTGATAACGGAGGAGCGATAATCGAGGAACTACCAGACCATCCTCCGGTGAAATCCTCAGACACTTGCCCCGCCCCCTTACTGTGTATCGCTCGCTGATTGGACGATGCAGCGCATGCACTGATCTGGCTGCTGTCAGACGATCAGTTGTGCGGCGTCATCACAAACGGACGTCGCTTCACGTGACGCTCCGGAGGAAACAACGTCCCATTGCTCTTAAAACTCATTTCCCTGCTTCTCGTGGTTTCCTTGCGTCTCTCCATGCTTCCCTGGTGGGAGGGACTAGTCGCAGGGAAACGACGCAAGTGAGGGATGCAAGGAATCCATTTAACCGAAGTGAGATGCAGCTACTGTAACGTAAACATTGTAACATGCAGCAGCAAACAAAGCGCAAAATTACTAAAAACGTTACTTTAATCTTAGTTAAGTCACACCATCTGTTATACTACCATTCCACAGTTTAACATTAATCTTTTTAGTATGGTATTTTGTAACATCAAAGCCAACACTATACATCTGTATAGTATACAATCTATTTTCCCCAGCCTATAATAAAATGCAACAATTGTCAATCTTTTTCTTCATATGTGAACAAAACAATGTAGAAAATGCAAGAGTGCAAAGTCAAAGATGGTAAAATGAAATTCTGCTTGCCTTCACACCAACCGCAACATCACTGTCAATGGAGGGAATGCAGGGAAATGACAAAAGATAAAGAAAAGCAAATAATGTTAGGCCTAGTTACTGAAGAAAAGCAATTTGGATCAAAGTCATGCATAATAGAGGTTTAGACATGCTCAACATTTGACATCACTCAGTAAAAGGAATGAACAAAACATCATAATGAAGGCTTAGCTATTTCAATCACTCAGAATAAAATCTGAAGACCTCAATCAGTAAAGTATCAGAAGTACATTTACTCAAGTACTGTACTGACACAAGTACAATTTCGAGGGACTTTTACTTGAATATTTTGCTACGTTGTACTTCTACTCCACTAACATTCAGAGGTAAATGGTGTACTTTTAATCCACTACATGTATTGAATGCCTTTAGTGACTTTAGAGTAAATTCACAAGCTACCCTGCAGTATACAAAGTCATTCAAACTAGTTGTTACCAGCTTTGAGAACACTTTATGATCAATCATTATAAAACATATCACATATATTATTCTGAAATGGACCAATCTGCAAAATGACTACTTTTACTTTAGCTACTTTAACTATATTTTGATGCTAATACTTTTCTACTTTTACATTTTGAATGCAGGAGTCTTTGTAGCAGAGTATTCCTACAATCTGGTACCGAGTACTTCTTCCACCTCTGATCACAATGTATTATAATTCCGTATTTAAATTACGCCACACATGTGTAAGAGTTATAATAAATCAGTTGTTTTTGCCTCTAGCTGATACATGTAATTGCCATGTGTCGATTCATTATTTTGTAACGGAGATCACTTTCTGCTTAATGGTAAATCACTTTTTGTGACGTAAGCTCCGGACAAAGGACTTTAATTAACTGACAGGTGCGCGTACCATGTCGGAGATGACATCACTATCACATAGCTGCTGTTTTGCATTACTGTTACACCAACCTCAATAATAACTGCTTTATCACGCAAACATTCAACCTTACAGGAACCGTTAGTTATTTTTCATTCATCTCAGGCTAACGGTAACTGGCGCACGAGAGAAGGTGATGCTAAACTACAGTAACGGCCCGTCCACACAGCGGCGTGCGTTAAAGCTTCAACGCTTCTTTTAACAGCTTTTTGCTAACTACCTTGCTTCCTATGACTTTGCAGTCAGGAGAACCATATGATACGTTAAATGCTATTTAACCATGTCCTACCATCAGTTTACTGTTCTCTGCAAGCAAAACAACATTAGTCGACCGCATTTCTTGGTGGGGAGTTGGCTTCTAGCTAACGTCATGTTCTTCGTGGTTTACAGTATCAAGGTTCGCAGCTGAGCTAACAGGTAGCATCCCTTAAATGAACGGGGAGCAGTCAATTAAGTTAATATCCAAGCACAGCTGTGAGAAATGTAGCTAGAAGCATTCATTGCAATAAAAAAGGCATTTACCCGTCCATTGCAGCTCTTTGTCCTTTTATGTCTGATGATAATTCAGCTCAATTCGATGCATGTGAGCAAAATGGGCGTTCTTCTTCTTCGTTTGTTTTAATGGCATCTGGGAACCAACAGCAACATTAGATGCATTACCGCCGCCTAGTGCTCATTCATTGCCCACGCCCAGCCTGTATAGCTTTAACCCTTTAACTACCAGACCAAGAAAAAAGCTATGGAAAAATTATTTGTTTGCAATTTTTTATCAAATGGGCCACAAATAACCACAAACAATTTTTCTTTTGGACCGACCACACAGTTTTGTTTTTATGAGCCTCTACCAAATGGTCGAGCTGGCCTTTTATGGTAAAAGTGCATTTTCAACAATCATCATACACAGTACAGTATTTGTATGCATCAAACTCAAATGAAACACAAACTCAAATAAAAAAAAAAAATTTATGGAAAATGAGCAATATATACAACCAGATATATTCATAAAAGATAATAAATAATATTTTTTAAAAATAAATAAATGGAAAAAGGTAATGCTAAAGGTGGGGTAGGTAATTTTGGAGAAACCAGCTCGAGATCGCTAGAATTTGAAAATACACAGCCGGAAAAAATCTTCCACTTCCTTACAGAGCCCCTCCTCCAACACACACGAACGCGCACATGACCAATGAGGGCACGAGATAAGTTTGTGCACAGATGGAAGGCTGACAGGCAGGTAGGCCATCCAGTTATTTTAGCCAGGCCGGCTAAAATGATTGGTCGTGCTTTTTACAGTACTACGGCTTCCACAGATGACATTTTTTTATGGAAGCACTTAATATATTCATTGCTATCGAGATGTTAAGAGCATTCCATGGAATATAACAAAAAGTGTATCTCGAGCCGGTTTCTCAAACTTACCTACCCCACCTTTAAGTGTTTTTCATAATAAAAAAAGGACTTGCTCATCTTACTGTATATGCTGAATTGGCCTGAGAAGAAACCACTGGCCTAACAGCAAATGTCTATATCCTTTGTGAATGATGCAGTGAAATGTCAGGAGCGCCGGGTTAACAGCGGAAAGCCTGCTTACCAAGCCTTTGTGCTTTCCAACCATCGACGGAGCCCCATCGGTTACAACAGAGACGATTTGACTCACATTCAAACCATTCTTTTCGAAGAACTGTGTCAGCTCGTGGAAGATTATTTCCCCGGTCGTGCGCCCGGGCAGAGTAAGCAAACTCAGCAGCTCTTCCCGGAATATCTTCCCATCAAAAAATCGTATGAACACAGATAGCTGTTCCATGTCGGTTCGGTCACAGGACGAGTCTATGGCTAGGGATATAGCCTCTGTTTTCTTCAAATCTGTGAGTAGACTGGAAAAACACTCCTCCGCTAAAACCTCTACTCTTCTGGTTGCCGTGTTAGCCGACAGCGGCACCTGCTTTAATAGCTCTGCAACCTTTTTTTGTTGTTTTTCATCAGGATTTAAAACTTCACGAGCCATGTCTATCGCACACCGTTTAATTAACTCGGCATCAGCAAACGGCTTCTTGGCTCTAGCGAGCGTCCAAGAGACGTGCAATGAGGCAGCTGTTGCGCTCTCTTGTGCCGATGTTGTTTTCGACATTGTGGAAACAGAGTGCTTGTATGATGCAAGCAAACCTGCTATCTTTTGTGTGCGCTGGTCGGATTTCTCTGGATAGTTAGCATTAAAACTGGCAGCATGAATAGAGGTGAAGTGCCGCTTCAGGTTGTCTGATTTGATTACAGCTACATTCTGCATGCAAATCAAACAAGTCGGTTTAGCAATGGCGGGGTCCGGTAAAAAAAAAACAATACTTCTCAGTCCAGTCAGTTTTGAACTGACGGTTCTCCTGGTCTACCTTCCTCTTCTCAGCAAATTCCATCCTGGGTTTGAGTTATCCACGGTCCGTTAGTGTCATGTTGGTCAATCGCTGGGCTGGGATGACAGGCGGCTAGCCAACACAGTCTCACGGCATTTCGTGTTATAGTCACGAAATTAATCTATTGATTCGTGCATTTGCCTCTCGTGGGCCGGATCTGGCCCGCGGGCCGCTAATTGGGGTTGGCTGCAGTAGACCCTCTGCTCAGCGGGGGGTCCTACTCGGCGTACTTTCTCGTGAACAAGAAAGTCGGCGGATTTCGCCTGATCTTGGATCTCAGAGGAATCAACAGATTCCTGAAGGTGCTGCCATTCCATATGCTGACCACAGCACATGCACAGGGGGGGTGGTTCGCAACCGTGGACTTGAGGGATGCCTACTTCCACGTGCCGGTTGCATCTTACCACCGGAAGTTCTCAAGGTTTGCCTTTCAGGGCCGACACTACCAGTTCCGGGTGCTTCCCTTTGGTCTCTCCCTCTCTCCAAGGGTGTTCACCAGGGTCGTGGCGGAAGCTCTTGAACCCCTGCAGGCGCAGGGCGCGAAGGTCCTGCCATATTTAGACGGCTGGCTGGTCTGCGCGCCGTCCCGGTCTCAAGTGGCCCAGGATACGGCGTGCCTCTTATCTCACGCAGCCCGGTTGGGTCTAACAGTGAGCACCGGGAATAGTTGCCTGGACCCTTCCCAACAGGTCACTTACCTGGGGATGGTCCTAGACTCGGTCGCCATGAGGGCCTACCTGACACCTCGTCGCGTGGACGACATTTCCCACCTTCTTCCCATCTTCAGGCCGGGCAAGATGGTGCCTTATATTCAGTTCCTCCGGCCCTTGGGCAGGATGACGGCTGCCTCAGCCCCTAGGCCTGCTGTCGTTGCGCCCCATGCAGATGGGGCTGAACAGCCTTCACTTGGACGCCAAGTGGCACAGGCACAGGAAAGTCAGGGTGTCGCAGCAGTGCCTCCACTCTCTGTCACGCTGGAGGGACAGGGCCTATCTTCTGATGGGCGTGCCCATGGGCGCCATCCCATCCCGCTGGGAGACTGTCACCGTAGGTGCATGTCTCTCAGGGTGGGGTGCAGTGCGGCAGGGCAGGACTGTCCAGGGTCAGTGGTCTGCCCAGGAGGGTGCACGCCATGTCAATGTGCTAGAGCTTCGGGCTGTGCAGCTTGCACTCACTCACTTTCTACCCCAACTGGGGGGCAAGCATGTGCTTGATCCTTGGGACAACATGTACACTGTTGCCCAGACAGCAGTCCCTTCTAGTGGACGTTCTCACTCCACTCTGAGAGTTTAGGTGGCTCTCTACCTGAGAGGGGCTTTATGGCAGCGTCCCCCTAGCACCCAGAGGGATCCGGCCTGGGACCTGCCCCTGCTGCCGGATGCCCTATCATCTCCTCCCTTTGAGCCCCTGGCCCAGGTGGGGCTTACGTGGCTGTCCACGAAGGCAGCATTTCTGCTTGCCATAGCCTCAGAGAAGCGAGTTGGGGAGTTGCATGCCCTCTCCGTAAGCGATACATGCCCGAGGTGGGACTCTCAGGTGTTGCCCTTTGGGCAAATGTGGCAGCCTGTCCAGCTGGCACGCTTTGCCATTCAGTAGAACGGCACGTCGGAGTTGCTGTGCCCTGTGGGTGCCCTAAGGGCGTATATCGATGCTACTGCCTGTATACGGCAGTCGGAGCAGCTCTTCGTTTGCCATGGCGGCACTAAAAGAGATTAGGCCCTCTAAACAGGGGCTGCCCCACTGGGTTGTCGATACCATCTCACATGCCTATGGGGCCAGTGGCCGCCCCCTGCCATCAGGGCTGAGATGCCACTCTACAAGGAGCATCTCAACATCTTGGGCTGCCCCGAGAGGGGCGCCCCTGGAGACCATCTGCGCCGCGGCGTCGTGGGCGTCTTCTGGCACATTCTCCAGGTTTTATCGGGTTAATGTCGCCACTCCCCATCTTTGGGCGTGGTCCTTTTGCCGAGCTCCGCTGCTTCCAGTAGTGAGCAAGGGCTTGGATTCTTCATGACATGGTTGGTATAAGTCATCCAGTGCTAAGCACCGCCTCTGGCGGTCAGTAGGGACGAAATAGAACGATAGTTACGTCTGTAACTACAGTTCTATGAGTCCCGGATGACCGCCAGAGTATCCTTTCACTCAGAATTATTGTGTGCTCGCGAGAAGATTCTCGGAACAGATCCTCTGACATCACGTGGGTCACAGGTGACTTTGTTGTTATTTGGTACTCGAGCTGCGCATGCGCGCGATGGACATATCCAGTGCTAAGCACTGGCGGTCATCCGGGATTCATAGAACCGTAGTTACAGACGTAACTATTGTTGCTGCTATATTGCATTACCATGTCATAAATACTCGTGTATGCTGCTCTTGTTCTTTTGCACTTTTTGCATGTCATGTATTTTGTTTTTGCTATGTTTGTAAAATGTAATTTTCTTAAATGTTTTATGTGAGGGACTGCGGATTGAAATGAGCTCAAAGCTAAATCTGGCACTGTTACGCTTGACACATTTTTTATGTTTTAAGTGTTCATCACTGTGCATTGTCCCTGCCAAATAAACGATTGAATAAAATAAATAAATGTTCTGGTTGCTAACAAACGCCATTGTAACACATAAACACACATCAGAGCACAGTGGGCTCATAGGGAGGGAGGGGGGGGGGCAGGAGCTCCAACAAGGCGTTTAGGACAGAGAGTGAATACACATACTATACAGATGCTGTATGAGAAACCAATGTGATTTTGGAACATTGCACAATATAAATCTATTCTAGTAGACCTCAACAATGGAATTATGATCAGTAGAAATGGCCATGACATGGGACCTTTAAATAAATGATTGCTCCTGCTGCTGCATAAGAAAACCTTTATTTTATTCATAGACCCAATCAAAGACACATACATTTAGCATACAGTTAATGCACATTAAAATAGTAATTGTCTGATTTCATTTAGGTGAAATTATCTAATCATTCACGCAGAGATGCAATAAATGACAGGAGTTGTCACTACAGTAGCTAGTAGGTGGGTTCGAAACCAGAGCCTGCCGAAGTTTTCAGGCATTGTCTTTCCCTCTATCTCACCCTCTCTGGAATAAAGGCACTCTGACCCAAAAAAAAATCTTTAAAAAAAAAGTAGATCACTTTTTAACATTATTCTCAAAGGGCCAGTAAATATCACCCCGGGCCGGATTTGGCCCGTGGGCCGCCAATTGAATAGCCCTGTTTTACATCATCCAAATTAATTCCATCATTTTTAGAAGGCAACAAATGTCTCAAACCTCATGTTGCAGATGACTTAAAACAAACATTAGAATATCTGTTTCTATTATTAAATAGGTGGGAAGTGTTGGTTATTGGTCCGTCCCTTTAGCAGACAGGACTGACAGGCACTCCCCTCTTGGGTTTATATGGTTTTGCCATGGTGACCATCTTGATGCAGTCGATGATGGGACAGACGCTGAGGCACAGAGTGCAGCCCGTGCAGCTGTCAATCACTTTGGGGAGGTGGGTCTCTGGGTCGAACGTTATAGCCTGGAGACACAGAGAGACCGTCGGGTTACAGGACTGAGTCTTAACCATACACGGAATAATTATCATATTATTTACTTAAGTAAAAGAAGCAATACCACAGTGTGAAAATACTATGCTATGCTAAGTAAAAGTAAGAGTAAAAAGCATTAGCATCAAAATATACTTTAAGTACCAAAAGTAATATGTTATGTAGAAAGGTACATTTAAACACCAGTTAATTTAAAATTATTTTATCAAAATGATTGGTGCATTCATGTGTTCATCACCTCAGTTTTGTACCTGGTGAAGGTGGGGTTTAGTTGAATTACTTTACATACTACTGGGTAGCTCAGCCTATAATAATGTAGGATAATAGTGGAGTAAAAAGTTCAACAAGTAGCATAATGTGAAATACTCAAGTAAAGTTCAAGTACCTCAATGTTTGACTTACTTACAGTACTTGAGTAAATGTACTTTACCCCACAGAGTATTCCTAACAGTAAAGAGACTGTGGCAGAGTGACGTACCTGGTAACCAGAGTCGTTGCAGGTCATGTAGCACTTCCCACAGTTGATGCACATCTCCTCATCTATCACAGCCTGGACCTGAGGACACAGGGGGGGGGGGGG